CCACTACCGACACTGAGTGGAAAAATTTAAAAAGTATAATTAAATGGGTTGAGGCGGAGCAAGAAACAGAAGCAATCGTATAGAGTAAAGTATGAAAAGACATAGGGCGAGTACAAGGAAGAAACTGTAGAAGCACAGCTCAAAATAAAGAATGGGTTTTCAAGATAAAGTGTCTAAATGGCCTGCTCCCGACAATGCAAGTCCTAAACATAAAAAAGGCAGAACTATACCTGGACGATACATGTAAGATTTGCTGGCAGGAAGCTAAGACACAAGATCACCTTGCTGCATGCTCAGAACTTCAAAAAATGTGGTGCATCTTAGAAAAAGAAGTGAGCAAATTACTTATCGAAAAGGCGACTAAAGAAAAAGAGAAACTGGAGACCAGAGATATACAAAAGATACAAGACCTAATTTTTGGCAAGGGCACACAAGAAAGAATCTCAGCAAGAATGGAGCTAATGAAGGGTTTAATTACAGAGCAGAGATGAGAAAGTATTAGCACAATCATAAGTGAAACAAGAAAGGTCAGCAAGTTTGTCCAAGCTATACTTAGCCATTTCCAGCGCCAGTTTTTCAAGCACTTCTAGAGCTTCCGATACGAACTAGTAACGGATTGGGAAAAGCATAATGGTATAACCAAAGAGAAAAAAAGAGAAAAGGCCAGCAAAAGAAAACCTAGGAGGAAAAACAATGAAGCAGATAAAGAAAATGCTAACACTCGGATCACTGACCAGGAGAAGGAAAGGACAAAAGAAAACGATGGCAAAAAGAGGAGGAAAAAGTTAGAGGTATTGAAGGAAAGAGACAAAATAATTGAAGATTGGGCCTCATGGGGTAAGAAGCCAACATGGTCCTCACTTGTTAAGATTCGACAAAATTATTAGGCATTTCTAACAAGGCATACGACAGCCTACTTATGATCAAGGGAGGTATCAGTTATGGTACGAAATCCTTAGTAAGTTAAGGATTCCGAGAAAGGTAAATAGTTGTTATAGCAGGTCGTACTGGGTTTTTAACCTGGTGAGTCTTTATTGAGTTAGAGCAGTAAGTTGTAAAAATTTAGTACATTGTATATAAATTTTATAGCAGTTCATATAAATAAAGGCAGAATCGCTTAAAAAAAAAAAAAAAAATACTAGAAAAGAAAAAAACTAAAAAATTAGAAGAAACAAAGAGATTGCTAGAACTAGAAGAGAGAAAAAAAGAGTTGTGTTTGATAGTCGCCGAAATAGTTTGGAAAGAATTACAAAAAACTGGTAAATTTCTTTTAATACACAGTTTTTGTATACTTGTTTTGTTGCATATTAAACTATGAAACTTGTATTTAATGGAATAACTAGTGTTAATGAAATTGATAATGTAGGTGGCTTGGATGAAAAGGCAGGATACAAAGCACAGAAATTGCATGAATTGAAACGAACCAAAAGAGATAAAGAACGTGAAATATATTTATTTATTGAAAGAATCTTTTATCATTAAAAATGATTCCACATTTTAATTATCATACATATATTTTTTTAGGAAAAAAAGAAAAGTAAAACATTGAATTAAGGCGTAACATATACTAAGAGCAATATTATTAGTAAAATCTTCAAAATTTTTACAATAAACTGTAGTTTGTAAGCTACCTCTATGCGAAATGTCTGGAGAGTTATTATTTTAAATTTAAATAATTACTGGTAAATTTTAATCTAACATATATGGCATCCCGCTAGAGAAAAAAAATATATTAATTATATTAAACTTTCCCAAATACATGTAAATGAGTATATTATATAAAATTGTAGCCTAATGAATTTAAACGATTCGAGATTTATCAAAGCCACCATATACAATTTTGGTTATAAAATATATCTTGGGTATAGTATGCTTTGGAAGAGATTACCGTATTTGCTTAAAATAATGCTCCAGAGCATTATTTTGGGTAAATACGGTATATAATTTCAAAATACTGGTATTTTGATTGATGAGTTGGTATTTATTATGTTCTATTGGTAAAAATAGTCAATAGAACAATAGAACAATAGAATAGAATATAGATCTATTAGACCAATAGAAAAATTGTAACAACACTGATTAAAGCGAAGCTTTACGGTAGAGATATACAGATGTTGCATTTGTTATATAATTTTTTAAGCTCTGCACAAGCATAAATATGCATCAATTCTGTTTTCTTTTTTTTCATATTTTTCTTTTTTCAAAATCTGTGCTTTTTTTTTCTCTTTCTTTTCTTTTTGTTTTTTCTTTTTGTTTTGTTTTCTTGGTTTGAATTTTTTTTTTACTCTCCTTCTTTGTCTTGTGCTCTTTAAGAAGAAGAAAAAATTAGAAGGGAAAGTAGGCAGTCTTGATAAGCCACAAGTGCTATCCGTTGATATACTAATTAGCCTGAGATAAAGTTAACTAGTATAGAGGTAAATACTTGTTATAGCAAATTGCACATGGGTACTCTCTGAGCAACTAGGTGAGTCAACACTTATAATTTAGATATCAGATAGATTAGCTACACAATATCTAATAAAGTGATTAGCAGGATTGCTGAATTGCTGAAGTTAAAAAAAAAAAAAAAAAAAAAAGTAAAGAGAACTTATATTTAATCAAAAATTATTCATACAAGATTTAAATAATTTTACTAATATTGGGGTGTGGTGACTTAGTGAAGTGGTGGAGTTGTCACACCTCCAAATGGCAGATCTAGAGTTCAAATCCCATAGACGACGATTTTGAAAAAAAACTAGATCTGTATTGGTTAACGTTAAGATTATCGGTTGGATCCAAATATCTATAATCTTGGTCACACCATCTCAAATAGGAGCTTTGGCACAATAAATCCAGAAAACTGGAATTATTGAAAACCCATTTGGCAAGTCTTGAGTTGGGAGTAGCAGTGATCTTTGATAGTGCTACAGGAAGACTGAATTTGGAACCGGAAACTAAGACCAAAGAACCGAGCAACCAGATCCTTAAGTGGGAAAACACACTAGCCGAACTACCGGCTCGCTACTGGAGGAAAAGAACTTGTACTCCAGAAGCATGTACCAAGAGGAGGGAGACTATAAGACACCTAGAGCCTGGGCAAACCAACCTTTCCAGGTTGCCAGCTGGAAGTAAGGAAGGGACTAGTAAGGAATCTGGAAAAGAAGAAAGTTGAAACATGGGTACTGGGGTTGTTGTGAACCTTGCAAGGGCAGGAGTACATAAGTGAAAACTAATTAGGAAGGTTGTAGCTTGAGATACGAATCAGATTACGGCAGTATCCGAAATGATAGCTTGAGATATAGACCCAGTAGTGGTAGCACAACATGTACTAGTTGGAGAAAGTTACTGAACATGCAGATGAGTATATGTGTAGGACATGTACTATTCTGTTAGGTTTACTACAAGGATAAATGCCCATGTGGCTAAAGTCTTAGGGTCCTTACACAGCATTGTTAATCTCATTAAGAGTGTTAGGGTAAGCATGTTACAGAAATGGAGCCAGAGGATTTAAATGGGTATCCTCATAGTTGAGTATAAGTATAGCAGCTAGTATGGAACCTAGGGCAGACTACTTAAATAGATAACCAAAAGTTGCATGTATGGCTAGTTGTACTCTCGTTAGTTAAATAATC